TCTCTCGATCGCTTCCCACTCGCCTTGTGACGCTCACGGGTGCATTCAAATCGCTTGCTTAGCCTCGGCGTCGGTTCTCCAGTTAGTCTATCCTATCGATCGTTCAGGCTCCTCTAGCATATCTGTTACAGCTAATTCTCGATGTGCTGAAGTCCATACAGCTGGGGCATACGCATCTCTGAACATGTGCTGCAACGCTCTGCGCCTGAGTCCTGCATACTTGTGTTTATGACTGAGCTGCATCTGTACTGCTGTTATGAAGCTTTCCTGCATTCATACAACCGCTGTAACACGCATCTCCGTAGCTAGGCACGAACATCGGCAGGAGGGCCAACTGCAACTGCTCTGCTGCCTGGCTCGTCTGCGGTAAGCCAGCCTCATGGGGCAATTCGCAGTGGCGACCTGCTGACCATCCCTTCCAAAGAATACCCGCGAGAATGCTGCGCGTGATAATTCTCTGACCTGATGTGGTACGCAAGACCCATCCCCCGCCACACTCAGATCCCTGGTGTTGAAGTCGGCCCACTCCATGGGTCACCCCTCGGCATCAAACAAACTCGGCTCGAGCTGGTCCGAAAGGGGCGGCCAGCTCTTGACAGGGTCCACCAACTTGAGGCCAACGTGCTACTGGTCGTCCCCTTCCCTGGCCTCCTGGATGAAGCCCCCCGTCACCTCCGCACTCTCCCTGGCTGTCTGCATCTCAGGACTGGCACAAACATAGATCCTGTGGGCGACTGAATCAGGTTCCCCGCGCATGGGGCACGTTCCAGCCGAGTGGTACCCGGCTTTCTGCGTTCTGTCCTCAGTCCAAACTCCGTCACAGAAAACCGTTTTGACAAGGTACTTGCTTTGCGCATTGAGACCTATACCTCGGAGTTTGGGCTGGGTCATCTTACGCAGTGGCTCCACGCACACGCGGTCCCCTTCTTCCCATGTAAGCTTCCTGGCCAGGACCCGCTCGCGGTGTCTCTGCACACTTTCCTTGGGGAGGTTGTGCAGCATAGCAGGGAAGTTTAACAGTACACACAACTTGATCCCCCTGTCACCACCCCGTTCGAGGGGGAGGTGGGTTTCCAGCATATTCGAAACAACGACAAACACATCCTGCTGATGGGCCCCCTCGTCTTCCCCCTTTCCATCCCTCGAGTCCTTCCTGGGAGACAGGCGTCCACATGCTGCGCAGCTCGGGCAGCGTGAACGCAGCATGTCCTGGTGCTGTCGTAGTGCTCCACACCGCCGCTGCCCAGGCCAATGCTGGTGCAGTGCCACCATGCTCCTCCAAATCGGGTCGCCTAAGAGGGCCGTATTCCTCCATGACACGGCGCCTGGTACGAGCACGAAGCCATACGCCGTCCGGCGCGTAGGCGGGAAAAGTCTGAATTCAAGCGCTCACAGCCCGTGCGCCTGCTAAACAGGACAAAAGGAGGAGGAGGAGGAGGAGGAGGAGGAGGAGGAGGAGGAGGAGGAGGAGGAGGAGGAGGAGGAGCAGGAGGAGGAGGAGGAGCAGGAGCAGGAGCAGGAGCGAGAAAGAGAGAGAGAGAGAAAACAACGAACACATGCATTGCATGCGCAGTGCGGCGCCTGATAGGAAAATATTAGCCTTCGCGCACGCTGAAGTTCAGCATCGGGCATGCCGACCACCGCATCGCCGAAACCCACAGCTGGTGTGACGCCCGCCGCGTATGTCTTCCCAATACGGTACTTATCACGTGGCAAAGCTTTCCTATGACGTTGCAACCTACGGTTAACTTGGGCCTGTCCTTCTACAGGGGGAACATTCGAAAATAGTTAAACAATAGTCTGGAGACTATTTTTGAGTATTTTTGGGCATCTTTTGAGTATTTTTGAGCATCTTTCATGTTTCGTCCAAAATCACCCTGTAGGGGGATACGCCCGACTCAAGGCTGACCCCGACAGCGCTTCCTCTTGCCACTGGTCCCAGCGCGCCTCAGCTTTATCGTCGAGGTCCGAGCGTGCCTCAGTGAAGTCATCATCCCAATCTTCGAGCGCCTGAGTGCAGCGATCTTCGACCTAAACCTACGGTGCCAGCGTAACACATCGGCCATCGGCGAGGGTTCTGGAACGTAGCCCTGTTCCTCGTCCTGCTGGTCGCTGTACATGGACCTCGTGCCGCTTCCCCTGCCCCTCCTCCCCCCGCTCCTCCTCCTCCTTCTTCTCCTCCTGCTCCTGCTGCTGCTCCTCCTCCTTCTCCTCCTCCTCCTCGTCCTTCTCCTCCTCCTCGTCCTACTCGTCCTCCTCCTACTCCTCCTCCTCCTCCTCCTCCTCCTCCTCCTCCTCCTCCTCTTGGCCAGGGCGTGCCCGCTCCCTCCCTTGGCCCCCGGCGCGAGCTCCGCGCCGAGAGCGGCCGCGCGGGCCCCCACCGTGCCTGGTGGCGTTCCGAGCCTTCCCCCGACGCGCTGCGTTCCCCCCTCCTCCCTCCTCCTCCATCCTCCTCCTCCTCCTTCCTCCTCCTCCTCCTCCTCCTCCTCCTCCTTCCTCCTTCTCCCTCCTCCTCCCTCCTCCTCCCTCCCCCCTCTTCCTCCCTCCTCCTCCCCCTCCTCCTCCCTACCTCCTCCCTCCTCCTCCTCCTCCCTCC